TACTTTACTCCCCAAGAACAGCCTGCTGTTGATTAACACTCGGTTCCCTTGATACAACAGTCAGCCGAAAATCAACTAATCCTTTACACTTTGGAATATATATATATATATATATATATATATATATATATATATATATATATATATATATATATATATATATATATATATATATATATGCCCACTGGTGGGTGTTGTCCAAAGATTGTTAATCTTCACTTGTGGTTTATGCAAGTACAGGCTTATACATATATATATATATATTCTTTCACTTGCTGTACACAAGTGAGCTCGGTACACTCACCAGTTCATATATCACTCTTTAATAGGTGCTTATTCCACATATATAATATTTTCTGATCTGACTTTTCCTATAAACTAAATATTACAACCAGTAGTTCAAACTTCGGTTTACCTACGAGTATGTATGTATGATGACTGTATAGAAATATACACGTTATTACACTGATGGGGTGCATAAGTATTCACAGTACACTTAAAAGGTTAGTATACACACATAGCATCACAAAAATTAAAGATTATACTACACCCACCGTTAAATCTTGCTCACTACACAGTTTTAACATACAAAGCAGATATCGTAAACAAGTGTACACATGTTGCTATACCCGGTACACAGTCTGACAGGTACACTCTCCGACACCACTACACAAATCGCAACATAACACCCAGTGGTATATAGTCCATTACACCGTGGAATACACCGGGGGGAAGGGGAACGCCCTACACCAGAAGAGGGTGGAAGCGACACTGCCAGATCTCAGACCTGCTGCTCTTTCCTCAGCTGGGGTCAGCCACGCCCTCTCTCCCGTCCAAGTTGTACCGTGGCTTGTTCCCACTGCCCTCGACGCTGGAGGTCTGTCTGGAGCTGGCTTTTTTACCTGTCACTTTGTCTATGATTCACTGACTCTGTCTCTCTCTCTCTCTCTCTCTCTCTCTCTCTCTCTCTCTCTCTCTCTCTCTCTCTCTCTCTCTCTCTCTCTCTCTCTCTCTCTCTCTCTCTCTCTCATAAAAATCGTGTCGTAAGTGTTGGTATGTCAGCTTTTTTTAATTATGACAAATGACAAAATTGCTTCTTAATTATTTAGCTGTATTCAATGTAGTAATTAAAATAATATCTTGATAATTAACGACTTCTTTGATGAGAATGATTTTGCACTATTGTCTGGTGTTGCAGATGCCGTCATGAGTGGTAGAGACTTAAGAGACCTTGCAGCGTTTGTAAAACTTTTCCACATCCTGGTTTAGCCATCATAAAATTAAAGCCGTTGGCACTCGCTTTCACTGCAAAATAGTTAAATGCGCAGAAATAATGGTGATTGGCTCAGGAGGAATGTACAAGCGGGGAAGTATAGAAGGAATAATGGAAAAAATTCAAGAATATGCGAAATATGAGGTGAAAGAAAACGGAAATGATTATTAAGTGAAAGGTGAATGCCTCCGGAGACAAGGAGAAGTGGAGCAGACCATTAGAGGGCACTGGGCTCAGGGAAGAAGGGAGAAGGTTCGGACGTAGGTTCGAATCCTCGTCACAGCCCTTTTGTGGATTTGTTCATTGAGAAGGTTATAATTCATTAAAATAATGATGTATCTCTTTACGTCATCGCTACTATGTAAACACTTCTAGCTCAACCTAACTTAACGGAAATAGATCAAATGTGTTGTGTACAGTATATGGTGTACACGAGGTGTGTGTGACGTCATTGTGACGACATCTTTTTTTTTTGCCGGTACAGGTTTTAGACCCAACTTGGAGACAGCCGTCAGAAAGGGGGGGGGGGGAGTTGAGTGGGGGGGGGGGAGGTTCTTATAAAGGGGGCAGGCATCCCACCACCCATCTTCATTATATCATAATCAAGATAGTAATATCATCTCTGACCATTGTCATCCCCGTTTCAGTATTTATTACTTTGTACTGGTATATATATAATTTAATGATTTCTCTCACGTCCATATACAGTAAACATTCCTATATTATACATAAAAAAGGCTACCACTTCTGATGAAATTGTGTGGACCCATAGCCTCGGAAATTTTATTGTTTTATACATTATGATTTATTACATTATTGTATTGTTACAACTTAACAAAAGAGACCCTAGAGCCGCCAGTTTCCGCTTTCAGCGCCTTAGTGTGGCGATACAGAGAGGGAATGCACACTGCATCCGTGGGTCCTGCTATAATGCATTATATATATATATATATATATATATATATATATATATATATATATATATATATATATATATATATATATATATATATATATATATATATATATATATATATATATATATATATTATATATATATATATATGAGTGTAAATCACGAAAAATAAATACGTGATTAAAAATGTGAGTGTCAGACCACGGAGGAAAATTGAAAGAGGAATTTCCTTAAGTACTTTCGTATATTAATACATCTTCAGAAGGAGTCCTTCTGACACTGTCATATATATATATATATATATATATATATATATATATATATATATATATATATATATATATATATATAATATAAAATTATATCAGTGAGCTTTTTAGAACGCTCGGGGGAAAAACTCTCGGCCTCGGGGAAGGAAATAAACGGCAGAGTACTACTAATTTTTTTAATGTATTTCAACAAATACAGAGGGAGAAGGGGGAGAGAGAGTGAGGGGAGAGAGAGGGAGAGGTCAGTGTAAAAGCTGGCATTCACTGTAAGGGGCTGCAGTTTCCTAGTGAAAGCGTGACACAACGCCTAGCAGTTGCCGCAAGGAAATCAGTAACATAATTGTTCTGAATAATAGACTTGCGAGTAACGTTATTTATAGTTTACTGGTGGCCGGTAACATATTTTCCAGGTGGTCTTCAATAGTCAACACGATCTATCGTTTCTTGATACTGCCTTGGACTATAATGTGGCGTGGTTGGCCTTTAGCGCATTCCACTAATGAAGCATTATTAAGGTCCCCAACTAAAGCCTACTGACCAATCAGCAGGTATACGTTTGTCCTGTGCTAAACTTTCAGTGTACTTACACCGAAAATTGAGGTACACTTCTCCGTAGTATATATATATAGGTGCATCACTTTCTTAATAAACTTCTTATTTATATAGTGTCGGTGATTTAACATTATTATTTGTCAACATAGTCTTCTGGCCTTTCACTTAGGAAAATAATGCCTCGCTTTCTCAACAAAAAAGCCTCGTCTAACTTCATGTAATGAAAGCAAAAGTCCACATCAATAAATATATACACTTTGAAGTGGCACTACTCATCCATCTTCTGACTGGACTCCGAGTGACTGTCAATGTTTTTTGAACACTCAAGTAATCCATTAAGTGGGAAGCATCACCACTCTGATGCCAGTGGTAATGTTTATCACTGGCCATATACACAGTAGTCTCGGTACTGTGTTCGTTTGGACGTGATCCTGAACGTCGTGGGTTCGAATCCTAGCTCAGTCGATTAAGACAGCGTCTGGGATCCTCTCGAACGTAGGTTCGAACCCTCGTCACGACCCTTCTGGATTTGTTCACTTGTCACGTCATTTAGAGTTCTTATTGATCTGTGGCTTGCGTGTTCCTGTAGCGTTTCTCATAATATTATTATTATTATTATTATTATTATTATTATTATTATTATTATTATTATTATTATTATTATTATAAGTAAGCAGTATTATAATGCTTACGGAATTCCTCTTCGTTGTAATATAACTTTGCGGATATACTAGGTTAGGTTAGGTTATAAGCGAGTTTTGGCGAAGCCAAGTGTACTAAGATGTGGCGGATATTGCGAGGTGTCGTAAGACACGATTAATATATCGTAAGATAAAATTAAGGCATAAAGGTGACGAGATAAAATAGATTGAGGTGAACGGGATGGGAAAAACCAGTCTTAGCAAAACTAGTTTATTCGGGGTCAGTTATATATATTACCTGGTCAACAGGCGGGGTCATGATGACCCGGGCATGACCTATGAGCATGACTATCTATTTCAAATGCTAAAATCAAAATCAAAATAGAAAGTAATCAAAGGCTGTATGTTAGGCAAAAAGTCAGGAGTATGCCTCGGCCGTCATACTCCTACGTTATTAAAGGATAACGTAGGAAAGGATCGTTTAAATTTCACGATCTGGAAAATTATCTGAACGTGTTACAAGTTTTATATATATTATGTCGAGTAACCGCGGGAGAATTTATGCTCCCTTATATCATCATATCAATACCAGACAGAAAGTGTGAGGCTTATCGAAGCCTCCTCCCCTCCCCCACAAGCCAAGGGCGAGGCTATCTGCACGATCCTCCTCCCCCCCACCCACATACTGTGTTGAGTCTTAGTCTGCAGCGCGTCACACCCAGATGGTCCCGGGTTAGACTCCAGTGCAGGACGAGGCGTTTGGGGGGAGCACAGTTTTCTCGCAGCAGATGCCTGTTTCCCCCTAGCAGTAAATGGGTACCTATGAGTTGGGCATCTGTTGTGAGTTGCATTGAGGAAAAGACCATCTAGAGAGACTTAAATGCCGCTGTTAGGCTTCCAGCCCGCCAGCACCGAGGCGCTACAATCTGACTGAGCAGCCCAGTTGATTATTTATCAACTGATTTGGCTGATTATTTATATAATTTTATAAATTTATATAATTTTATAAATTTATATAATTTTATAAATTTATATAATTTTATAAATTATATAATTTTATAAATTTATATAATTTTATAAATATGTATAATTTTATAAATTGCTGATATTTTCCAAATCATTAGGAATTTAGAGCTTTATAAAATTATTTTAAGATTGAAAATGATAGTTTGTTTCATTTTTTTTCATCAGTGATTTCTTAAGATGGTGATGATAGAGAGGGAGAGGTAGTGACGTTGGTTGGCACCTGGGAAGCAGCTCACCAGGTGGACCAGATGTTCAAGCTCCGGCTCCATTCTTGACCGGGTAGGCCTCGTGTCAAGGCCTCATCCGGGTCGCCGAACGCAAAAATGTCACTCAACCGGTCGTATTACCTAATTACCTCCTCGAGTATTACCAGTACTTTCACTTTCTGGTTAGGTCAATATATAGTGCACGTGCGAGGCGGTATAGGCCCGCTGGTGCACGTGCGAGGCGGTATAGGCCCGCTGGTGCACGTGCGAGGCGGTATAGGCCCGCTGGTGCACGTGCGAGGCGGTATAGGCCCGCTGGTGCACGTGCGAGGCGGTATAGGCCCGCTGGTGCACGTGGGAGGCGGTATAGGCCCGCTGGTGCACGTGGGAGGCGGTATAGGCCCGCTGGTGCACGTGCGAGGCGGTATAGGCCCGCTGGTGCAAGTGCGAGGCGGTATAGGCCCGCTGGTGCACGTGCGAGGCTGTATACGCCCGCTGGTGCACGTGCGAAGCGGTATAGGCCCGCTGGTGCACGTGCGAGGCGGTATAGGCCCGCTGGCGCACGTGCGAGGCGGTATAGGCCCGCTGGTGCACGTGCGAGGCGGTATAGGCCCACTGGTGCACGTGCAAGGCGATATAGGCCCACTGGTGCACGTGCGAGGCGGTATAGGCCCACTGGTGCACGTGCAAGGCGATATAGGCCCACTGGTGCACGTGCGAGGCGGTATAGGCCCGCTGGTGCACGTGCGAGGCGGTATAGGCCCGCTGGTGCACGTGCGAGGCGGTATAGGCCCGCTGGTGCACGTGCGAGGCGGTATAGGCCCACTGGTGCACGTGCAAGGCGATATAGGCCCGCTGGTGCACGTGCGAGGCGGTATAGGCCCGCTGGTGCACGTGCGAGGCGGTATAGGCCCGCTGGTGCACGTGCGAGGCAGTAGACCCCCTGGTGCACGTGCGAGGCAGTAGACCCCCTGGTGCACGTGCGAGGCAGTAGACCCCCTGGTGCACGTGCGAGGCAGTAGACCCCCTGGTGCACGTGCGAGGCAGTAGACCCCCTGGTGCACGTGTGAGGCAGTAGACCCCCTGGTGCACGTGCGAGGCAGTAGACCCCCTGGTGCACGTGCGAGGCAGTAGACCCCCTGGTGCACGTGCGAGGCAGTAGACCCCCTGGTGCACGTGCAAGGCAGTAGACCCGCTGGTGCACGTGCGAGGCAGTAGACCCCCTGGTGCACGTGCGAGGCAGTAGACCCCCTGGTGCACGTGCGAGGCAGTAGACCCCCTGGTGCACGTGCGAGGCAGTAGACCCCCTGGTGCACGTGCGAGGCAGTAGACCCCCTGGTGTACGTGCGAGGCAGTAGACCCCCTGGTGCACGTGCGAGGCAGTAGACCCCCTGGTGCACGTGCGAGGCAGTAGACCCGCTTTGAAAGGGAAACAAGAATGCCAAATGTAGTCTACTTGCTGTAACTGTATCCATACCGCATCGTCCACAGCATGTGAAAAGAGTTCACAATAAACCCGTTAAAATATGAACAATAATAGCCTAGGAGTTCCGCGGACAAATGTGATGGGCGGTGAGAAAGGGGAGGGGGGATGGAGGGGTGAGTTTAGCGGTATGGGAGAGGTAGGTGGTCTGGGAAACCTGTTTGAAGCAGCGGTTACTGGATCACGACGAGCACCGCTCCTGTGCCAGGTAAGTCCACTACGGGCTCAACATAACCCGTGCTACTTGCCCCGCTCCTGTGCCAGGTAAGTTACGGGTTCACTATAGCCCGTGCTACTTGGAACTTGTTCCGAGTAGCTGAATCTATAACAACAACATGGTTCACGACGTAGCGTGCGTGCGCCGCTACACAGCAGTGGTAATCCCTATCGAAACGTTATACGTGATTAAATGTAACATTTACAGGTAATATTTAGTAACCAAAATCTGTAGTGATAACCTAATGCACCTTCTTCAGTATGTGTGTGTATATACGCACGCGCGCGTGCGCACAATTTAAGATACGAAAAATGTTATCCAGCAATTTCAAATGCTTCGATCGTCAGATAATCCTATCAGACGTTGCTACTGTTTGGGTTCACAGAGCCTCGTATGCAAAAAACATGTTATACAGTTTCTAATAAAGAAGCGAGGAAGACTTAGGAGTGTGAGAGGAGAGCGTGGTGAGAGCGCTGTGTAGGGAATGCCACAGCTGGCCGCCGTCAAACTTGCAGGCAACAGGTGCACGGTCGGCAGTGTTCCAGGAAGATGGTCAACATTTTCATGCAGTTATCGTCAGTGTTTCCGTTGTCATCACTTCTTGTCTTGTGTGGACACTTCTCTCCTTGTTCGACCATTTCATTCCTCGCACTACAATCACCAAGCTGTTTCGTAACTCATATAATATTTGCCATTTCCAAACATATTCCTATTCATTGTAAGATACTCCATTATCCTGTTCATTGACCCACTTGTACATCGTATAGGTTGCAGTACAATAGTGTACACAGCAGTACAATAGTGTACACAGCAGTACAATAGTGTACACAGCAGTACAAAACAGAGTACGAACCGGTACAATACAGTGTACTCAGCTGTACAATTCAGCATGCACAGCTGTACAATACAGCATACACAGCTGTACAATACAGCATACACAGCTGTACAATACAGCATACACAGCTGTACAATACAGCATACACAGCTGTACAATACAGCATACACAGCTGTACAATACAGCATACACAGCTGTACAATACAGCATACACAGCTGTACAATACAGCATACACAGCTGTACAATACAGCATACACAGTTGTACAATACAGCATACAAAGCTGTACAATACAGTATATAGCTGTACAATACAGTACACAGCTGTACAATACAGTACACAGTTGTACAATACAGCGTACTCAGCTGTACAATACAATGTACTTAGCTGTACAATACAGCATACACAGTTGTACAATACAGTGCATTCAGCTGTACACAACATTATTGTTGCCATCTGCTGGTCCTCATGAACTAGCGGTTCCTATCTTCACAGTATAACAAATTATCATATTTAATTCCCATTAAAATTATAGTCATATTCCCTATTATTCTGCGTCTCGGAGAAGCGCTGCCTGTTAATCCATGGTCCGTTTTCTCTATTTGCCACTCCGTAGAAAATTCAACTGTTCCGCTTAACCAGTAACGCGCACAAACACACGCAATCTATCGTGCCTGTAAGATAGAAAACGTCGTGACGATGTTTAAGGTAATGTACCGGATTGGTCGATTACGTTACAAAATGACGTATTTGGCGAGAGAAGAGATGGTAAACAGATCATTCGGAAAGATGTAGGGTATGTCCCTCAGAATGTGTAAGAAAATATATAAAAATTAGGACATGATTGCAATTTTTCTCGTGAGCCAGGTGGTCTTATATGATGTATCATAAAACATTCATTGTATACATGTTTTGAAGTCAGTTTTAAGTTCTAAGTGTATTAATGCAAGCTTAATTGTTCTCATTCACAGTGAAGCAGAACCTGTAAGTGAAAAGCGGAGCCAAAGACGGGTTTTTGAGGAAGATGGATGAATATATAGCAACGCTAATGAGAGCATTCGGGAAAGACATACGTAACGTTAAGGAGGTAAGTCAATCACCTTAGGGAATGGGAGGGAAGGAGTGGTGGTGTGAGGGAGGGCAAGACTAGGGAGAGAAATTATACATACACGCTTTCGTATACATCTAGGTGAGTACCGAGCTTCTCCCTGTACTGTACCAGTAAACCACTTACCACTTAAAACTTAAAATTATCTGTTAGATTAAGGACCTGCCCGAAACGCTGCGCGTACTAGTGGCTTTACAAGAGTGTAATTACTGTACTATGCTATGTATTCTCACAAACCCAATGTACCTTCTTGTATATAAATAAATAAATAAATAAAATAAGTAATCCCGCCTTCTACTCGCTAACCTCTTTCCTACTGCATATCTCCCTTTCTGTTTCCTTTCCGCATGCCATTACTGTCCCATTTCCGTCCTACCTTTATATTTTCCATTCCTTTATCCTCTGCTGCCACCATCCATCACTTTCATCAACTCTTCACTTGTTTTTCTTATCCAATACTTCCCCTATACATTCCTTATTTTTTCCCCTTCATCCGGAGGCCTCCGGATGCCTGGTCGACGACCGGGCCGCGGGGACGCTAAGCCCCGGAAGCACCTCAAGGTAAGGTTCATATAAATTTTTCCTACCTCTCCTCCACCCAGTCTGCCTTTCCTACACCCGCTCCCCTTCCCCCTGTCTCCACCCATTCTCACCCCCCCCCCTTTCTGCCTCCACCCTTGTCATCAACGTTACACGAGCGGGCGCTGATAGGTTTGTTTACCCCACGGAGTCAACAGGACTGCTTCCCTGGTCCACTGGAGCGTACAGCCACAATACGCTACTAGCAACGCCTTCTGTATTTATGACCAACATTACCTGTCACACAGCACCCTATTACCTGTCCCACAGCTCCCTATTTCCTGTCCCACAGCTCCCTATTTCCTGTCCCACAGCTCCCTATTACCTGTCCCACAGCTCCCTATTTCCTGTCCCACAGCTCCCTATTTCCTGTCCCACAGCTCCCTATTTCCTGTCCCACAGCTCCCTATTTCCTGTCCCACAGCTCGTTCGGTCTGACGCCATGTAAACGTGGATGGCCCGAAATGACTCCACTCTCTCGAGGGTAGAAATAGCCTAGGCTACTCTATCTATCCTTCCGAGATGAATTTATTTTTTTCTCAGTAAATTTACTTGAACTTGATTTGAACTCAACTCTTCTTAATGAACGCATGTATTATTGTTCATATATACATATGAATCATTGTTCCTATATACATAAGAATTCATACATGCATGTGCTCAAATATGGATTTGCATTCCCGCCATCTCGAGTGACCTCGACAGGGACAGGAAGCTGACGGCTTCCCCATTACTCCTGAAATATATTTCAACCCAATTTAACTCTGAATCAAAAATTTCCTTTGAATTTCAAATTAATTTTTTTTTGAATTTCAAATTCAAGTGAAAATTAGAATTTCAAAATAAATGTTAAATTAATTTTATTTTAACGGTTTGCTAAGGCAAACCGTCTCTAAATGTCTGATTTTAATAATCAATGGACATCTTAGTATCCATGTTTAAAGATATGATAAATTTCAGTGGTAATCTGTGTAGCTTTACAAGGTAAAATCTTATAACGTGTGTATGTGTAATGGTAAAATATATCTATCACATAAATAAAAACACGACTCTACCAAATTTGATCAGAATGACGATTTTTTTTTGTTATTTAACCTATCTGATCTATCGACTAGTAAATAAATGTTTTGGTAAATGCATGAAGAACTTGTCCTTGAAAATACATAAAGGTTAAATAACCCATTGTGTTGTTGTTTATTTAGTGTGTGCTTGACAAGCAAACACACAAACACATTAAATACACTATAGAAATGCTTAAACCTATCAATACTTTCCACACACACACACACACACAACCGATGACGGTTGAGAGGCGGGACCAAAGAGCCAGAGCTCAACCCCCGCAAACACAACTAGGTGAGTACACACACACACACACACACACACGCATGCAGAAACCCAACTACTCACACACATACACTCTGTACACCGGTTGATTAACAGTTGGGAGGCGGGACCAAAGAGCCAGTGCTCAACCGCCGCAAGCACAACTAGGCGAGTACACAACACACACATTAATTATTTGTTTCTAATTTAAATTAGAAACGTATTAAAACGTCATTTATACGATTTCTTAAAATTGCTACGATTTAATTGACTGAAATCAACGTATTTCATACGTTAAAAAGATGATTTTTATATAAATAGTTAGTGTCATCTTTCTGGTGACACTAACGTAAATAACACTAACGTTTTCTGACGTTTCATAAAAACGTCAGAAAACGTTTTGTGTTTACTGGGAAAGC